CGCAGGCAATTTAAACTACAGTATATATATATATATATATATATATATACTGTAAAATATATGAATTTAGGTTTATGTATATACATATAAAATATATGAATTTAGGTTTAAGAGAAGAGTGAAGTTTAAGCAAAAGGGCTTAAGGTATTTATCACTATGAAAAAAAAATGAATTTATGCAAGAAATTAACACCATTTTGTTAATTTTGTTCATGACATGTTACACTCAAGCCAGTTTCTAACCAGCGCCCTAAATTCACTGCCCCATCCACTAATTACCTGTCCAGGTGTGATGTAATTAGCCTTAATAGTCCACACTGGCTGATACTGTTTGGAGGGTTGACTGCATTTAACTGTCATTCATAGTTTGGTTTTGGAAATAGGTGGGTATGTGTGAATGACCCAAGGCAAATACATCCCRGAAGCATAATTTTAAAAAGGGAAGGGGAGGGAGAGGAAAGGGACAAAATGTAAAAGAGTATTCTCCCCCAAAGCAAGTACTTGACAAATAACTCTCCTTCCTTGTGGAATAGTGGTTCTCAAAGTGTGATCCCTGGACCAATGGCATGACCATCAAAACCACATGGGAGCTAGGCACAGTGATGTACRCCTGTAATCCCAGCAGCTCAGGAGGCTGAGGCAGGAGGATCACAGGTTCAAAGCCAGCCTCCACAATTTAGCAATACCCTGTCTCAAAATATACAAAGATTTGGGGGTGTGGCTCAGTGGTTGAGCACCCCTGGTATTAAAAAATCAACCCAAAACAAAACCACATGTGAAATTGGCAGAAATGCCAACTCTCAAGCCCCATCTGAGTTTCCCACTCAGAAACTCTGGGATGTGGCACCGTAAATCTAACAAGACCTCCAGATGATTCTGATGCATGCTCAAGTTTGAGAATCATCATTCCCAAGAGACCAGAAAATGCACACATTAGGCCTAGACCAATCTCAGTCTCAGCATTATTGCCATTTGGGGGCTGAATGGCCCTTGGCTGGAGAACCATCCTCTGCATTCCAGGCTGTTAGGCATATCCCTGACCTCTCCCTACATTCTAGTAATATTCTCTCCCCAGTCATGACAACAGGAAGTATCTCCAGACATTGCCAAAGTTCCTGGGGGCCAAAATCATCAGTGGTTGTAAACCACTGACCTAGACTTTAGAAAAGTGGGCTCTTATGGTCAGGAAGACCATTAGATCTTTCACTTTTCTAATCAGAATACTCTTAGCTCTCACTGATGATASCTTTTATAAAATGAACTCACTCAGCTGCACCCTAAATCTAAATGTTAACAGTTACATTTCTAAGGATTAAAGCACAAGTTGTACACAAAAGGTACAAGTCAATTTTCCTTTAAACTCTGAAAACTTGTAGAAAGGATCATTAAATCATGGCAAAAAGCAGATGCACACATTTTACACTTGCTGCTAGAGCAGTCACTGGCTGATACCACCTGAATTCAGTTTCTCCAAAAGTAGAGAAAAAATGAGTGCACGGCAAAGAGAACTGGGTTCAAATCTCAATCATGTCACTTTAGTGCTATGTGATTTAGARCAGTGACTTCATTGTCCTTTGTGCCTTAGTTGTCTGACTTATCAAATAACCATTACCCTATGTTCCACAATGCTCCCAGCAAGGCCTGGGACAGTACCCTTAGCTAAATGCGTTGCTATTTCCACAGTAAAAGAGATGCGTGTTCACAGTGCAAGGGATAAAGTTCAGAGACGGTCTCATCTGTTCAGGYCAGGTTTTTGTATTAAATGAGTATTCAGGTCCAACTTACACGCACACACTTTTGACTTTTACCATGTACTGAACTTTGGAACTGCTAATATGACTTTCTAGTGGAGGGGCATGCACACTGGATACAGTAATACACATGAAGCCCAATTCTGTACTTGTAGAGAGAAGGGACCCTCAAAAGACTAGCCATTGTTATTTATAAAGTACAAATTCAATCATGTTATCTGATTGTTTTGAGCACTTTGATGGCTCTTTACTACCTACAAAATAAAGTCCAAATTCCTAAAAGTGGCACACAGAAAGGCCCTTCCAAAACTGGACACTGGCCTTTCCTGTTCTCTGTCCTCTCTCCTGTCCTTTCTCATGCCATGGCCACCCACACACCTCTGTTCTGGCCACCTAGAAATAGCTATGGTCCTGGGCTGGGGATGTGGCTCAAGCGGTAGCGTGCTCGCCTGGCATGCGTGCGACCCGGGTTTGATCCTCAGCACCACATACCAACAAAGATGTTGTGTCCGCCGAGAACTAAAAAATAAATATTAAAAATTTCTCTCTCTCTCCCTCTCTCACTCTCTCTTTAAAAAAAAAAAAAAAAAAAAAAAGAAATAGCTATGGTCCTTTCCCCCTGCCCAGTACAGGACATGCAGACCTTTGCCACAGACACTCCTGGGAAGGAGGAAGACCACTTCTGAGGATGTCTTCTAGGAGATGCTCCTTGAACCCTGGACCCAGACCAAGGAGCCCCCTCTTCCTCTGTGTCTTCCCATCACCCTGGGAGASAGTCCACAGAACTATGGCTTCATTCCACTGTCTAGCCCTTGGGAAACAGAGATTTCTACATCACACATGTACCAAGGGCCCAGCACTTGGTGTGTGTCTGACACATATCTGGATGAGTCAARGTCAGTGTGCTACTTCCTCAGGCATACATGCTAGCTTCCTCAAGTCAAGCGCCATAAATATCCATGAATCAGAGGTTACGTGAGGGCAAGTACTGTGGCTTTTGATCCCTGTTGTTACCCCAAGGGCCTGGTACTCAATAAATACATTATCCCTAGATACATGAATGAATAAATGAAGAGTAATCACATATTTAAAATAATGTGAAAAACTCATCAGTGGCACCACCACCAACAACAAAAAAGTTCATAACCAGGTACTTTCATTAACTCTCTTACATATTAGATGTGGCACCTTCTGAAAAGGCTTTCCTACTTCCAAGGAAGTTCCATGGGCCTGAAACACACGTTAGAAACTTGAGGCACCAACCGTCACCCGGCCCAGCCATCAACCAGAGCCCTGCAGGAACAGTGGTGCCCCAGAGGAAAAAAGGAGCTGATCCAAGACTCCCCGGAGCAGCTTAGTGATCACTTTCTATAAAACATTTATTAGCATCGCTCCTCCCCAACAGTCTCAAATATTCAGCAATTTACCTAACATGAAGGAGTCATGAATAAACATTCTACTAAATAAAGACTGCTAACTTTTATAGTGTATCTGCATCTATGTTCATATCACGCAAACACCCTTATTCTGTCCTTTGTCTTTTCTACATTCCCATCTTCTCCTTATTTCTCGTGTACCCCTTTGTGCTTATTCCCTTCCTGCTTCACACACCCACATCCAGGTCCTACTAATGGGTCCCTACCTTGTTTGTGGTCAGTTAACACATAAGCTGCAGGAAGAGGCTCCTGCCTGCAATAAACTCACTACCTAATTGAGAAAAGGGTCCTAAGCTTATCCAGAATTGAAATACAAAGGCCAAACAAGAGCTCAGGGTTTTAGGGTTTCTCTTCCCATTCAGGACAGGCCCTCCATGTCACTCACTTCAAAAGGTATAACTACAAAAAGCAGGACTCAATCTTCAACAGCAGTACCTTCCATCTTCCACAGAATCTTTTGGCTTTTGGCACATCACTACCTAAGACTGCTTATTGTATCAACAACAACAAAAAAAAAACAGTTCACTCAATAAACACTTCCACATTCCCATGTGAAAGCCACTTACACATTTAAGGTTTTAAAGATGCTCAAGTTTTAAAACAAGTAATATTGTTTCAACACAGTTTAGTGCCCTGAAGACAAGTGAGCAGAGGGAAGTCTTGGGTCATCTGACTTCACAGAATGTCTGTGACTCAAAGTAACTAGTTTCACCTTCTTGGCCTTAGTTTCCTCTTGGATAAAATGGAAAAAAAAAAAAAAAAAAAAACTGGACCAAATCAATGTTCCCCAAAGTGTGGAGGGAGTCCAAACCAGGATATCTCAGTAGTACAAGACAGGTCTTTGTGTGCACACAGCTAACACGTCTTGGTTTATTCTTTATAGTGTTAATAGTTTTCCTAATGGTAGAAGTGTAAATAAATTTCCTTTGCAAATAAATGAATCTGTTCTTCTTTAAAAGGAGTCACTTTTATTTTAAAAGACTACTTAAAAACTACTTAGTAAATTAACAGTTCAAGTGGTTCTAGCAGCTGATCTTGAGGCCTGGCATGAAGCAGGGAAGTGTAAACCCCAGTTCCAGAAGGAAGAGGTGAACACCCTGGAGGTTCTTTGCTGGGAGGAAATACCAGGCACCAGACGGCTGTACCCAACAGCCAGTCCTCCAAGCTCCCAGAGAAGGAGATTTGGAACTGACCTGGGAGGGCTAAGAAATTCCTGAGTTGAGTGCCAGGTGAAAGGAGACAGAGGAAGCTCAAAGGTCCTGGGCAGAAGTACCAGGTCCCAGCCTGGAGAGGATGGGGGTCCAGGGCCAGAGGGCGCGGCGGGGACTGGGATCCCTGGGTCCCAAGACAGAAGGGAGCCTTGAGGACTAGCTCCCTGGTCGGAGGGGTGATTTGAAGACAGGAGTGCAGGGGTCCCGAAGTGGAGAGGCGCGATGGGGACTGGGGTCCCCTGGTCCAGAGCTGGAGAGGCGGGGTGGGGACCGGGTCCGGAGCTGTAGGGGCGCTGTGGGGACCAGCTCCCTGGTCAGAGGGGTGCATTAGAGACCAGAGTGCCGGGGTCCCGAAATGGAGAGGCGGGGTGGGGATCGGGGTCCGGAGATGCAGGGGCGCGGTGGGACGAACTCCCCGCCGGAAGGGCGCGGTAGGGACAGGGGTCCCAGGCCCGAAGGGCGCGGTGGGGTGGAGGCTGGAGCACCGACGGGAGTCCACTCTAATCTCAGTGGACGCGAGGTGTCCTGCCGCGCGCCAGTCCCGGGAGGGCCGGCGCCGCGGACCGCACCGCCCCACACCSCGTCGCGCCCCGCCCGCCCCACCTGTCCTCGCTGGCGGTGATCACGCCGTCCTCCTTGGGGATGAGCAGCGCGGCCGTGACGGCGTCCTGGTGGCCCTCGATCTTGCTCAGCAGCACCGGGCGGCTGCTCTGCGGCCTGGAGTGGATCTCGGCCGCCATGTTGGCGCGGCCGCGGCGTCCCGGCGGCCCAGCAGCTGACGGCGGGCGGGCGGGCGGCGGGCGGGGACGCGCCGGTTCCCTCGGCAACGCCGCCGCGTGGGCGCCGCGCCGCCGTAGCGCCGCGAGTACCGCCGCCGCGCGCCCGTAGTCCCTGGAGAAGCGGCGCGGCCGCAAAGTCCGAGGCCGGCGGGGACTGCAGAGGGCTTTGGCGGAGAAGCGGGGACAGCAGTGAAGACTCAGAAGAGCCTTCACCCAGGGATGACTGAGCGGCCGGAGGCCCGAGGCGCTGTCTCTCAAACCAGAGCCCTCGGAAAATAATGGGACTGCACTGCATCCGCCCTAAGAAGCCATGGTCGGAAAGACACACCTTCATTAAAATGTGAAAAAATATAGGGCATCTTAGAATCTACTCAGATTATCTCACCTAATACCGATCACCGTGGGAGGTGGATAGATGGGTGTTCCCATGTTCCCTATTTATTATTTATTTATTTATTTTAGAGCTGAGAAAGCTGAGCCACAGAAAAGTTCATTTACCTGCTTAATGGTGCACACCTATGAGAGAGAGAAGAGCATTTCCTAACCTCCCAGAGCTGACCAGATACTGCCTGACCCGCTTTGGTGTGACTGCAAGGTGGCAGGGCTCCTGTCTGTGGAACATAAATGTCACACAGACCACTCTCTGTGTTTAAATGTAGCCATATATGAACATTGCACAGACCGCCAAAGTGATCAAATGATCCAACATGCTCCTGTCCTGGCTACTATGAGTGATKCCTATTTCTTTACCAATTATACCTTTAGCTTCTATCTTGCTCCAACTAGGTAAGATTTGTTAAAATCTCTAGTCTTAGAATTACACCCACTTCCTGTCATCACCCAATCCAGAGGGAAACCCTCTTTTCTTAAACACCCCTCCCCCCCAGTCATCTAGCCTGAACTCAAGTTCGGATAGCCTCTTACCCAGATGCCCCTCATTTCCTGGTGATGCGCCTTCTTCCAGCAAGTAATCAACCTCACTTGTTCCACTGTGGCTGAACTCCTGCTGGTTTTAGCTGGAGGACCTTGACAGTGAGTTAAAGGTCATGATTGGGACCCAGGAAGTCAATGACTCCAGCCCCTCCCCGTGAGCCCCTCACCCCCTCCACTGTATTATTCTGGCACCTGAACTGAAGGATTGCTCTAGAACTGGGCTGTACATTATCCACATAACTACTGACCATTTGAAATGTGACCAATCCCAAATGAGATGTGCTATAAAGTGTGAAATTCATACCTGATTAAAAAAATATTTTTGGTTATAGGTGAACACAATGGCTTCATTTTTAATGTGGTTGGAGAATCGAATCTGGTGCCTCACATGGGCTAGGCAAGCACTCTACCACTGAGCCACAACTCCAGCCCCACATAGCTGATTTTAAACACTCCATGTAAAACAAAAAGGATGTAAGATACTTCATGAATAATTTTCATATGGATTGTGGAAATGACACTACTTTGGATATATTGAATTGAATAAGATAGTATTAAGATTAATATGATTGAGTTTTTTCTTTTCTTTATTTCTTTATTTATTTTTTTTAGTTGTTGATGGACCTTTATTTTATTTATTTATGTGTGGTACTGAGAATTGAACACAGTGCCTCACACATGTGAGGCAAGCACTGTACCACTRAGCCACGACCCTAGCCCAGTTTTTTCTTTTTTTTTTTTTTTTTTAACCTAAGTAATAAGAAGTTTGGACTACAGATGTGGTTCCATGGCATTTCTATTGGACAAGGATGCACCAATACTTTCCTATGTTGAAGTTAATAACCAAACATTCATAGACTCATTTATTCATCAATTCACAAGCTTGTATCACACACTTACCATGTACCTACCATAGGTTGACAAGAGGACTAAGACATGGCTTAATGCAAAGCTTACACAAGATAATGTCTAGACAGTTGACTGAAAACTTGGGCCAACAAATAATAAATATTTCAAGTACCTATTATAAGGCAGGTGTCTTTCCAAATGCAGCAGTGGCCAAAAGAGATAGGAAAAAAAAAATCACCATTAGAACTTACACTCCAATGAAGGAACCAGATAGTAAACTAGATAACTAAATTATATGGTATATTAGAATATGTTAAATGCAATAGAGAAAATAAAGCAAGGAAGGGTGGTAGGAAGTATAGAGGTGGTGTAGTTTTTACGTAGGATGGAGGGGTGGCTACAGAGATAAAAGCACAGACCACCTTCTTGGAAAAGGAGGGATCAGCAGGCAGTCTCTGGTCTCAGCTCCTTCAGGGACTGCCTCAGCTGCTGAGGGGCACGGTGCCTTCACAGTGCAGCTTGCTTTCTTTAACTTAACAAGATGAGAACATGCAGACCTGACCCTCAGGACACACTGCTGGGCAGTGCTTGCTCCAGAACTTTCCTCTGGACCAGATGAGACTTTGTCAGTCTCACAGCTGATGACTCCTTGCCTAATCCTGTTACCTCCCTGGGCGTTCACAGGTAGTGGCCCTCAATAAATAACCTGGTGTGTTCATTTCTCAATTTATGCTTCTAGAAAATATAACTTGAGACAAGTGGCAGTGGAAGCCTCACTGAGAAGTGACATTCTGTGCACAAAGTGCTATCCTGGAAAAGGAAACCGCATGTGCTAAGGCCCTGAGGCTGAAGCATACCCAGGGGTTTATAGGAACAGCAAGGCAGCCAGTGAGGCGGGAGCAGAGTGGGTGATGTGAAGAGAAAAGAGAGATGAGGACAGAAAAGTCACCGGACAGATCTGGTTCAACCTAAAGGACATGGTAAGGATTTTGTGTTTTACTTTTAACGTGATGGGAGGCCAGTGGAGGGTTTTGAACAGAAGACTGGCTTAATCTACCTCCAGTTTTAAAAGGCAGTAGTGGCAGCCAAGGTGTTGGTCAGATAGTCAATGATATAAGGCACTGGAGAGATGATGGTGGTGTTCTGATTGTCCTTGTGATGAGAAGAAGTCAGGTTCTAGACTCGTCTTGAAGGTGGAGCCTGGGAGATTCACTGGATATGCAATATGAAAGAGAGAGAGGAGTTGGGAATGACTCCAAGATTTGTGGACTGAGCAACTGGAAGGATTGAGCTGCCATTTACGAAGCTGGGGAAGATGTGGAAGGAGCAGATTTGAGAGAGAAGAAGAGAATAGGAAGCTTCTGACTTTTGACGGATCTCCAACAGATTATCTCCCAATACATAAAACATTGCAAAATGACACCTTCATGTGCTTCCTTCAAATCCACTTATCTGACTGATGTCCCATGAAGTTTCAATACTTTATATAAATACAATGGCCTGTGATGGTAGCCTTTCACTCCTCCTCAGAGAATCTGCTTCTGCCAGAAATCTATTGCCTTGTTTTGGGATAGGTGTGGAACTCCTCTTTTGTTCTTTTCCTTCCCCAGTGTGAACCTTGTATAGGCTGAGATGAAGCAATCAGATTCTCTGCCCTGAAGGGTTGAGTTAAGAAACCCAAAGGAGCTGTGTGTTCTTGGCATTGAAGATTCCTGAGTTAAGCACTAACATGCTTTGGTCTGTTTCAGGGAGATGAGTGCAGGGGACTCTGTCTAGGACAGGAAGAGAGGACAAGGCCYACTTGGAGGCTATTACAATAACCAGGGCAAGAGGTAAGAGGAGCTCTCAGGTGCCTGCTGTAGAAATMAGTTGATGACTGMACAAAAGAGGGCATTTGTGAAAACAGGAACAACTAATGACAGGAATCCAATCTGGGTGACTGCAGGGGCAGTGGAGACCACAGAAAAAGGTACCCCTTTGAGGGTCTAGATGTTCAACAGGCAAAACAAAAAGGAAYTCTGATAAGCCTCTCTCGGTGACTTCATATAAGGTTATTTAAAAATTCATATTGTTTGACAGAAAAGTAATAAAATGATGTAACTAAAGAGTGAAAARTGAAGAAAAAATACTCATAATTCCACTGTGACTATTTTATTTTCCCAATGCTTATATTTTTTAAAAAATCTACTGTTACATTGTTTTTAAATATAAATYATCATTTGGGGGCAAGACTTGCGGAATAAACAGAATATTTGCTCAATGGTGGCTGGATAGATGGTCTGCAACTTTAAAACTAAAAATGAACATAAATGTTTTCTGATAAAATTTAAGTGTTTTGTTTAAACTGAAAGTGAAACAGTTTTTTGTCTTGGGTTAACTACAAAAGAAGTAACAAGAGAGCAACTGACTGGGTGAAGTAACTTCTCCCAACAATCTTTGGACCCAAAGTCCTCTCAAGCCACGCTGGTAGGAAAGTAACCCATCACAGGCAGAACCAGCACATGCGCGTGCGCACTAAAATGCTTCGGCTGTGCATCGCCCCCTGGTGGTGTTCCCGCCTTCCGCCTCTTTCCGTCCGCCAGTTCTTGGGGATCTGTGTTYCTGTGACACTGCTCCGACTGTTTTCCTTCCGGCTCCCACTGCTTTCTGCCTTGTGCCATGGCTTCTGGACTGGTGAGGCTGTTCCAGCTTGGGCCTCGGTGCCTCCTGGCGCGAGACGCCCCCACGCTCGTCTTGCCGGTTCGGGGAGTAAAGGGTTTCCGCGCCGCGTTCCGCTTCCAGAAGGAGTTAGAGCGGTGGCGCCTGCTCCGCTGCCCACCGCCACCCGTCCGCCGGTAAGAGCCTCCGGAGGCGTCTGGGTRGCCGCGGGGCAGGCGGGACCTGGGTTTTCTCCCCACGATTTCTGCCCGGCGGCGGCCGCATAGAGCGTAAAAGGTTTGAAAAACGTGGAAGAGACCTCGATGGGTGGCCTAAGGAGAGGGGTGTGTGCCCGGGCRGTGGAGCGCCGGGCGCCGGTCTTTGCAGCGTCCCTTGGGATCTTAGGAAGAGTGTGGGGAATGGGGACGGCTGCAGGGCACGCTGTCCCCGGGCCTTGGTGAGGCCTGGTAGCCTCGCTCTGAGGGCAAGAGGGAGGAAGCTCCGCAGCAGTGCCAGCTAGGGCAGGTCACATACTGACTCTGCACCCACAGGTCCGCAGCCCAGAGTAAAACAGAACCTTC